TAGCAAGCAATATGATTATAAATAATAAAAGTAATATAAATGATGTACTAAGGGGAGTTCATATGTAGTGCATCACTGTTGAATAAAATGCTGGCTCTCAGTTACAGGCTGCAGTAAAACCCACTCCGCTGTGACTCTGGGGGACTGGAGTGACCCGCTGGATCCAGACGTAGAGACGCAGACCATATACAAGCAGCTGCTGCAGGGCAGAGACAAACTCAGGTCGGTGCAGAAAACACTCTGGAAACATCCTTAGCCTGGGTACAGTTCCCTTACTGTACACTAGAGGTCAATGTTGCACAAGAGTGCCCTGCTGCTGCTTAACAAAACATTCAAATGCTTTACTGTAACTCTATGAAAACACTAATCAGCTTCAGCTTATATCATCTTTGGTTTGGAATTCTGCAGGAAAAAATATTTGGAGATGCCAGACTCTCATCAGACGTCCAGCAGTAAAGAAAACATCAGCCCTGACATTCACCCAGGTGAGGCTGCATCAAAACCTTACATTATTCTGCCGTGGTGAAAGGATTTGTATAAATGTCTATGTCCTTGTGTTATCATCATGAGCATCGTACCTCTCTGCCTCACAGATGGTGCAGAGTGCAACGTGCAGCTGATGAAGCCAGGTCAGAGCGCCGCCGCTCGGCTGTTGGCGGTGATAGACGACCTGGAGCAGGCTCACGCCACCTTCCAGCGCAGAGAGACAGAGGACAGCACCAGTGTCATTCTGAATTCCTAGACTCAACAAACATTGGGATCTACTACTAATCTTTGAAATGGGGGGGGGTATTTTTACAGCGTCCTGTAAAAAAACATAAAATATAAAATATTCCCCCTTGTTTGTCAGGGAGTAAAAGTGGCCAGAGGCTGCAACCTCTTCCAGATTTGTAGTACTTGTCCTGCAGGAAAAAGCAGAGGGAATTCAGCCACTTTTAATCTTTTTAGTTTTCTGAGTGCCACCAACCATAACAGCGCCGGGGAGAGATTATGATACTTGACAATAAAGGGGAGGGAGGGGGGATTTGAGCATGATCTGATTTGTATGTAGATAACAAGCAATCTCTTGCATGGCCTGCCTGCATCCACTTGTGAAAATGTGAAAAGAAGGTTTTATATTTTGAGATACTGTACAGGACCTCAGTCAGGGTCGCACATTTTTATGCAAAAAGCTTGTTGTTTTGTTATCTACAGTACCTGAATGTAATGTGTTTTGATATTGCTTTTGTCAACGTTTTGTATTATATTGAGGCAATTTCTCACTTCAATAGCAGTGACATTTATCTAATCCCACCTTGAGTATATGAAATGCCGGTGCACATTTCAGAGTACACTGCCTGTACAAAATAATATTTCAATTGTTGCTGTGGTCCCTTTACACAAAACAATGTGCTTCTGTTTGGTGCTATGGTCAGACTTACATTGCATATTTAAAATGTCCATACATATGACTGAGACGAAAGAAATAACAATTAAGTGATATGATACCATTTGATAAGTTTACATTTCTTGAGATGTTGGCGCCACTATAAATGGCTCACATCTGTCAGGATTCGCTGAGATGCCAAATTTGTAAAATATTAATATTTGAACTACTCAAATAACGTAATTGTCTTAGAATGTCTGTGAGTTGTAAAGCCATTTCCCGTAGAGGGACAGAGGTCTGTGAGTATAATGAAGATCATATCTGTGATCTACCAGAGAGTCATAAACAGGCCACCCTGCCCCTGGAGCTGTTTACATTATATTCTGGTAGTCCAGCTACTGTAGTGTCTGTCTTTCTTTTATGGAGGGACAGTGCAATATTTACTTGTGGAGTAAACATTAAATGTGACATTTTAGTACTCATGCCAGACATGACAATCAATATTCTTTATCTAGACTAAACCAGAGGAACATCAGATGTCGCTTGTGAACTTGGTATTCCCTGAATGAGGGCTTTTATTCTGAAAAACATTACTGCTTGTACTTTATTTTTGTAAATGATGGTTTGTTCCAAGTGGATTGTTACTGTGAATTAAACACAACTGTATTATTAAGTAAACTATTATTTCAGCTAATACGTCTAGTGTCAAATTTGTACCCCAAAACAAAAAAGGTTTACTTGGGTTAAAATTAAGGGCAGAAATTGTTCATTTTAAAAGAAAACATTATTGTAATTTTCAGGTTCATATTTGTATTTTTTTATGCCTAAACTGTGACATATTTACATGCTTTAGTGTTCAAAAAAGTACATTTTCTCATACTGCCTGTACCGCAGCACCTCTTTTCACCCTCTGTCTGAAACCAGAGCCCAGTCTGCTCTGATTGGTTAGGGAGAGAAACTTTGGGATTTTAGCCTTTGCAGATCATTTACATGCACACAAACCTATATAACACATTACAGGAAAGGGAAAACCCTCAAAAGCATAATGAGGCCTCTTTTATTATCTAATGTTTTATCTTATGTTCATGTCTAACGGCAAGCCTGGACTTTTTACGTTCCTAGGGCGGCTTCACAGTATAATAGCCACTACACTGCCCCTTTTAAATAAAAATATTCAATCAAGCCTTCCCAACCACAGACTCACAATCCAACAGGACTCAGAATCGAATGTTAAATGATGCCACACAAACAGTGTTTGCAGCCGTTCCTCCTCCTGGCCTTGTTTGAATGCTAATGAGAGCAGACTTACCTGCAGTGATGCCGTAGAGCAGGGTTGGGGAACCTCCGGCCCCCGGGCCGTATACGGCCCGCGAGACCATTTGGTACGGCCCTCGAGGTAATTTATAAACACGCAAAAAATTAAAAAAATAAAGAAATCTAGACCGCAAAAAAATTAAACAAGCGAGTGCCTGTTTTTCCTGGCCAAGGTCAGGGTCCTTGAACACAACACGAGCCTAACGTGTCATCACGTGGTATATGTCTTGTCTGACAGGGGTGCAGTTCTGACGGAGAGCACCAGAACGTCGCTCCGGCCAACAATTGCAGTAGGGCCTACCCATTTTTTGCGTGACTGTTTTATGGGCATAGATATGTCTCATAATTATTTGTGTGAACATAAAAATAATTTGTGTGTAAATATGTGATTTGTAAATGTAAAACAACATCCACAAATGCATTTAAAAGATTTGCAAACTCACAAATACATTTGCAAGTGTAAAACGGATCTGCAAATACGCTAAATATGTTCACAAATAAAAAAAAGATCTGTGAATATCTCTTTAACATTTACACCTTTCGATCAGGCATTTGTGAATCCATTTTGTATTTGTGGACCAAAAATGCGCTTGCGGATCTCTAATCTCTGTTCACGGATCTCAAATCTCTGTTCGCGGATCGTCTTTTTACACACACGGAATTTTGAGACATATTTTCCGCCGGTCTCGGCTAAAATCTACTCGTGTCACTCGGTTATTTTCGGAAACCACGTGATGGCCTGCTGATGACGACATTTCCGCATGATTTCAAAGTAAGAGCATGATGGTTTGTTTAATGCTCTGTTTTTGTATTATAATGAACAGCGGAACGTTAGATGCATTCTTCATCACCATAAACCTGACCTAAATACGGTGCTTTTCTACAGATTACTTTATTACTGCACTGGTAAGGTAAAATTAGGCCGATTAATAAGATGTGAAGTGCTTTGTAACTTCGACCCGCTTGACTGAATACACAACAAACAATGAAGAAAGAGTTTTATCTGGGCTGTTTCGCTGCCAGCTGCTCCCCCGGGACCCGAAAGTGGCGTATAGCCTGCACTTCAACATCAACGAAAGTGCTCGATAGGCTATATGCTATATTGAACCATTGAACCAAACTAACTGTATCACTATAACATGATGATGATGATGATGATGAAGAATGCATCTAACGTTCCGCTGTTCATCACGTGGTTTCCGAAAAAAAGACGATCCGCGAACAGAGATTTGAGATCCGTGAACAGAGATTTGAGACCCGCAAGCGCATTTTTGGGCCACAAATACAAAATGGATTCACAAATGCCTGATCGAAAGGTGTAAATGTTAAAGAGATATTCACAGATCTTTTTTTAATTTGTGAACATATTTAGCGTATTTGCAGATCCGTTTTACACTTGCAAATGTATTTGTGAGTTTGCAAATCTTTTAAATGCATTTGTGGATGTTGTTTTACATTTACAAATTACATATTTACACACACATTATTTTTATGTTCACACAAATAATTATGGGACATATCTATGCCCATACTGTTTCTTTAGTTGAAAGCCCAGTGGCGATCTGTCATACTGATCATACAGTCAATAACTTTGTTGTTGTTAGCATCTGGTTAGCTCGCTATGCTAACAAATATAAGAAGCTTTTTCTCCAACCAGTGAGGTAAAGGCACATCTTTATATGATCATTATAGTTATAAAAAACAAGAGAATAAAGTAAACAGGTATAACATACTATATGACAGTAAACAAAAGTTGTTATTAATAAACAATAATACAGTTTGAAAGGGAAGTGATTTGTAAAATATCCATAAAGAAAAAGAAATCTGCTTCCAGTTCTGTTTCATATGGGTGTTGAGAGATGTATCCATAGAGCTCCTAATGTTGCTCTCAAAGTGCACCAGATTTATGCTTTTAACTTCAACATTTAAAAAAAATCTTCCGGGTGGAGCATCCCCCCCGGACCCCCCTAGAGGAGGTTAGGATCTGTTAGGAGGAGACTGATCTCTGATCTGCAGGGTCATTGTATGGGAGGAAGAGGGTGTGTGTTGAAGGGGAAGCTGATCTCCCACAGGCCTGCTTTAGTATGCATCAACCACAGCACCAACATACAGCAGTCAGTGACAGAAAAGGACCATAAAGCAAATTTACTGCCAGTGAAAACCGTTTCCGCTGCACTCCTCAGCTCCAGCAAAGCTCATTTATAATAACCATATAAAGAGGTGTAGAGCAGGGAGTAGCCTGAAGAGAAGGACATGGTGGAGCTAAATGACATGCCACCGAGTGGAGAAAATAACGAGGGGGGAGTCAAGGTGACAAAAGTTCAAACAAACTACCCTTATCCAGGGCACGTTTATTTTTCCACAAGAAACACTCAAACATGCAACAATGTCATCACAATTCAATAAAGACCGATAGATTAAGAAGCCCTTTATAGTTGAATCAATGTATCTTTATATCTTGCTTTGAATTGATCTCTGTTCATCTTTGTGAAGCATTTTAAATAGCAAAATGTAGACACTGCTTCTGAGAAATCAAACTACAAAAATCATGATTCGCAAAATGTCAATTAAAATGGGCACTTCAATGCAACACATTCGGATGTTTGAGATGTTAAAAGACTGAGGAGAGCAGCCAAACGCTGAGTCGTCCCCATCTGCGGAAATCAAACCCGGTAGAGGAAATCAACTTTTATCTAACTGGAGTAAGATGCAAAACCACAGTGCTAAATCCCCAGAAGACCTGGGGGATATCTCTAAAGAAGCTATGATGTTTTCATACGCAAAAGCTATGCATTGTCAATAAACTTGCTCACAGTTTGGTTAACATGCACCTCTCGGAGAACATTACTGTATCTTTAAAGGACATGAACCTAATTTCTGTTTACTAGACGCAAACTCGGCATACATTCACACACACTCGCACAAACAATCAGATACAAACACACAGTATATCCACTGAAAAATGTTAAGATATCATTTAGAGAGAAGTACAGTTATAAGAGGGTACAACTGCAAATACTTCATATAGGCCTGATAAAAGTGACTACCACCTCTAATCAAAGTGAACATAGCATGGAATGAATCTTAAGAGTAATACAACAATGTTATGTTATAGTTCTTTTAGAGACAATCATAATTAAAAAAAAGACATCAAAAATATACGTGTTCTAGTACATAGCATGTGAATATCTTCGGATCGCAACCCCTTTGTTCCTGGAGGTAGGCAGTGGCACCCCATAAAGAAAACATCCATTGTCATTTAAAACCAAAAAGATCTGCCTTCTTGCTACACATAAATCATGTAATAGATCTTAAAAATAGTAAATTGCATAAACACCATCTCTCTCTTTCTTAATCAGACACATAATATACCAAACCATGTTGTGTTCATCATTGCCATATAAGTCTGTACACACCTGAAAAGTCTAAAGGGCCGTACTACAAGGCCGACACATGGAAAGGAAAAGTCAAAGAAGAAGCAAACATTTGAATTTCTCTGGTTAATGAAACTTCAATCAACATGGAAAACATTCCCTGAAAGGTTGGATGCATTCTCTTTTGCTGTCCCGTAATATAAAGGGAGTCAAAAAGGTTGTGAAGGAAAAAAAGAGAACAGGCCAAAAGGATATGTTTTCAACACCTGGGTCAAATATCAAACTCACAAATAACTTTAGTGGTTTGTTTAGCATGTGCAGGTATCACTGTAAACACACAAAAGTAGTTCAAAGCCCCTGAAAACGTTTTTTCTCTTTAAAAAAAAAAAGAAGGTTTCTCTGTAACATAAAACACTCATGAGAAAGCGGCAATTTAAAGCTAATGTGCCTAGCTTAACAATAACAAATCTAGTTAACAGCTAACCTTTGTAGCTATAGCTAGTAGCTGTGAGGGAACTTGAGGCCTTGGCTTGTTACACTGTATGTTTTTTAAGACAAATAAAAACAAGAGTGGTCAAACTGTCCAGTTGTTGAATTACTTAGTATATTGCCAGGCAAAAAGAGGCTTTTTGTATTAACATGCCAAGACATGAATACGAAGAAATGGCAGATCATGTATTGGTGTGTTTGTGTACGATAAAGTAAGAAGATGATTGAGAAAATGGGTTTTCAGGGTCTTTATAATTTTCAATAAAGTAGGTTATATCTATTGACAACTGACAGGAGGTCAAATTGCACCAATCTGTTGCTCTATGTAACTAAAGCAAAGACCCTAACAATTATTTGTGTCTTTTATTTCACCCAGGCGCGCCGTTTTCACCTCCAAACTGAACAGAGATTGCCGACTGCAACCATTCCCATGTCAAAGTAGAAAAAGAGAAATGGCCCATTGAGGGGTCTATGGGGGGAACGGACATCTTCATGCTGCTAAAGCTCCCCCACCAATAATAAAGATACACTTACTGTATTTATTGGAGTCCCACAGGATCGACTACACAGATTCTACATTAAGGTAACGACAGCAGCATACGCTAAAACTACTTGTAATATAAGACGTCCATAACATGTAGTACATTTTCAACAGTCCCTGACATACTGACAAATTCATCTTTGCCAGATTTTCTGTATTCATGTTAAGATGTGCCTGTGTATAGATATGTGAGCCAGATGGTCATTTTATATATTCTATATAGAAGAGTATAAAAATAAATTAAACCAACACCACCGACTCAAATTGAGCTTGAATTTAAAGGTAGCCTATATCACATCTGCAAATGTATATCGTATATATTTTTCAAAGCATCGCAAGCCGGTTTATAAACATCAATAAAATAAAAAAAACACAATTTAAAGACATTTTCCTAAAAACTAAAAGGACTGATCAAACTAAACCGTTGCCTCAAAGTGCTATGGAAGACTATGATTCACTCCAAAATTAAGCTCACAGCTGGGTGCCCACACGATAAACCATGCATCTACACCCCCACTCATTAAAATTGATCAGATATAATTATGGAGAATTATGCAGCACTGGGTTATCTTTAATCTCCGAGTAGAGAAACAGCACAACTCCACCAAGGATCTACAGAAAAACTCTTTACCTCACGGGCATAACATCTGAGGGGGAAATGGAGAGTGCAGAACTAAATACTAGACCAACATTTGCAAGTACTCTGCTGCTGCTGAGGAGGAAAGAGGCCATACATTAGCATCTTGCCTAACAACTCTGAGTGAGCTCACGCAGGACAAGAGATGTTTCATTGCTCGCTAACAAGCTCACAAGAGACTTGTGGATCGCAGGCGAGCAGGAGCCAAAGATGGATCTCCAACAGAGAGAACTGTTGGTGCTGAAAGACGAACGTCCATCTGCCAGGAGTGTGTTCAGCTTTTCTCCTAAAGGACCTCAAGCCAGCATATTATTGCCTAAGAGCACGCAACCACACACTCGACCCTCATGTATGGTCAGCATGATGGATGGTGCCGACGCCCGTGTTGCCTCCAACATGGAAAAAAATAGCGCAGGCTTTATACAAACAGAGGTCAGCGTCATCAGTGTGTCAACAAAACAAATGAGTTTAACCTTGGAGCGTAGCAAAAACCGCTTCACAACCACAGCCTTTCAACATCTCATAACGGGCATCAAACTGTCTGGTAAGATGCTTGTTTTATCTATCTTTCATGTCTCCGCTCATACAACACAATATCAAACATTGATGTTTTATAGCCTCTGGAATTTATTTCATGCACTACAGGACACACTTTCATAGTCGAAAACAATTGACTTAAAGTATCTGAAGTGGAAAATATCCGAAATGCCCATATGCAACTGTACAGTCACCAAAAACACGCCACAATCCTCTCTTTCAAAATCACGAAACCACCACTTGATACAGGACAATAATCAAATATATGAAAAACCGGGGGATGCAATTAATTAATTCCTTTGGATGAATACAATATGCTGAAATTCTCTTAAATATAATCTTGACAACATCAAGCAACAGCTGATCTATCAACATTTCATCAGATTGCAGGTTATCGCCCAACCTTCATTATGCAGCGTTAGTCTGGGCCATGCATTCTGGAGTTTAGCATTTTAAAATATGCCAGGTTTGTCCCCTCATCAAGTGCAGAGGAACAGCTTCAGTTTAATCTAAAAGGGGTTAAATACCATTCACCAAGCCACAATCCTAACCTTGTCTTTACGTTTGTTACCCTCTGAGAACTTGCTCAAGGCATGGATCAAGAGGCAGCAGGGGGGAAATCTTAGGTTATACAAATCAAGATATCGACCATAACCACGTCATTTATTTTTGCTTGCGTTGCTCTTGTGCCACTGCTTCTGCAGGGTATTTTCGTTTGTGGGGAGTAAAGAGTTGTCGGCTGCTTTTTGGCGCATCATGAAGCTTCCTGTTGCCTGGGAGACGGTGAGGCATGGTGTGCGCTGTTCCTGTGTACCATCTCAGGCAACTATCAGTCCTTCAGGTTGTCCTCGCCGACCCCCTGGGCCGACAGCTCTGTCAGGACGTTGTCCAGGTATTTGTGGTCCGGGTAGCCGTGACCAGTCAGGTTGGAACCAAATTCTGTCTTGTGGTGAATCTCGTTCCACACCACCGTTTCCGACTCTCCCGTGGTGCTGGACGTGCCGATGGTGAAGATGAGGCGTCGGTCCCAGGCCATGATCAGCAGCTTCAGGACCTGGAGAGAAGAAAGAAGGATGTCATTATCCTGCTTTAGCAAGAAGAAAGTAACTATGATGTTATCCCTCTTTCAAAAATATTTTTTAGCTTTCATATACTACTCAGATAACCAGGTATACATAAGTGTTAGAAAAAATATCACTTGTCACCGGCTTGAGCTTCAATATCAGGATACATGTATTTATTATCCTTGCAAGAATGGAAGTAGTCATCACATACAGAGCATATGGTACAACTAGTACAAGAGAGGGTGTAACACAGTCACAAGATGCAGAATACCGGTTCAAAGCAGTATACAATGTTTAGTTTTAGATTAGTTAAGACCCACGTCAGAAATGATCATGCTTGTCATAATGTCTATCTCCATAAAGGCTGAATCATAATGTTAATCGTTGTCACATAGCTATCATATGCCTAACAGTGTATCCTGACGCTCTTCCAGGTAATCTTACATCCTGTTACGTACACAGTTACAGTTGGGCCTTTGTTATCATCTGCTACTCTGAAAGAGTACATTCAGTATTTTCCAAACAATAAGTAACTTCAAGTTTTAGTGAAGAAAGATCTTTATATATAATATACAAGCAAGATAAGGAGCAGAGATGCTTTCCCCTTCTTAAGAAAGAAATAATGTGCAGTTAAGCACACTTGCAAGGATTTAATGCTTCTGAGCTGTTGTTGTCTGTGTCTGATTGTTTTCATGGACCATCAGTGCTTACCTTCCTGCCTTTGTCATTGTCAGGGAGGTAGCAGTGTCGAGGAAACCCTCTGGCACTGAATTTTTTCCCGGGGCTGGGGTGCTCATTGGTCTGGTGAAAAAAAAGTCAAGCAAAAACACGTTACAACTCCTCTCCCAATTACGACTTTATTGTGTAGGTGATGTCAACAGCAATAAGTAGATAACAATGTAAAAAAAAGAAAAAAGAGATATGCTATTGTGAATATCCAATTATTTATTTTATCTATTGTTTATTTTTCCAGGGACAGCACACACCTAGTAAAGAGGAGGGGGGTGCAAGGTTATGAATAATTGTTATATATCAAGCGTGCATCAGAGTAAAATAAGAAGTTATAGAATTTGAGGAAATGGTTTTGTTTCAGTAACCTTAGCATTTTGTTTTTGTAGATATATTTAAGAATTGTGCTCTCATAGCTCCAATATGAAAAAAACTTGATTAAATCATTTTCCCACCCACACTTATTAATAAAGGAATTTGTAGTTACAGCTGTCTTGTCATGGTAAATTGGTCACATAATGTTTCCTATTTCCAGCGAGGTTTGAACATTTGTTATATCGGGCCTTTTTTGTGTGTCGAGAGTCCCTTCACCTCTTTTTGTCTCCTTGTCTCCTCAGTACATGTAGACCAATGAGACAGACCTATCATCACAGACATCAATCTGATTGCAAAGCAGAAGAAATACAGTGTACACCTTTAGAGATATACGTTTTATCTTTTGTTTATTCCTGTGATAGTTTTAATTAATTAATTGATTTTAACTGTAATATTATTTAGCCGTTGTTCATTAGCTCCATTACAGAGTTACATAGTGGACCGAGGAGAAAGAAGAGAAGCAGGAGACCTACAGAAATGTTCCCTGAGCGGTCAGGTCACCCCCAGTATTCTCTGTCCCCCGGGACACAAAGCCTGTTCCTCTGGTGGGAAAAGGTCAGTTTATTGACTATTAAAGCTCCTTTAAGCAGTCAGGATGAAATACGCAACCTTTTCATCTCACCGACACAGAACCAGGCTGCAAAAACATGCTCTCCTCTCCACGGCAAATGCAATGAAAAATCCAAATGACCTTTATTGGATCCGTTTATTCTCATCTCTAAAATATATTTATATTTCATTTTAAATGATAAATTAAATGCTGAAAAACCCTGAAAACCAATGGAAGAAACATCCATCTTCTATGGGGGATCACCGTGGGACATGCATAGCGGCAACACCTCATGTTCCTGCACTTATAACCGTCTTTCAGACTCAAGCAGATAGGTAGCAGTTGTAGAAAAGCACACAGATGTAGAGATATGAAACAAAGGATCAGGGCACAAAAGACGCATGGTGGATTTAGTGAAGTGGCACGGTTCTGACCTGGATCCCAGCAGGAATGTCGTAGACGATGCGGATGCTCTTGGAGTCTGGGTAGCCGGGCAGGCAGTGGGGGATGACGTGATACTCCATCTTCCCAGGAGGCTGGGTGCCCGTTTTCTCCCCATAGATGGTTTTACATGTTGGGCACTGAAGACTGCCATCCTGTTTGATAACAAAATATAAATATTGGCAGGGTAAGTGGTAAATTAACCCAAATTAAAGACATTTTTTACTTCACCTCCTGTGATTGTAGTCATGTAGATATTTTGGATTTTATTTGCGTTTTGAGATATTTGTCTCTGATATTTCAGCTTGGTCTCCCAAACAATTACATGAATGCCATTTAGTTCGTAATGCTGGAAGTAAACTTATATTTAAAGCCTCTCAACATTTCTCTTCAACATGATGAAATGATAATCTATCATTTGAAAGGGTACCCTTGCGATGAGAAACCCATAGAGAATTAGCAGTTCCCCTTAGATCTACGAAGCAATTAGGAAAGATATTCAACAAGCACTAAATCAGTTAACTAATAGATGTATTGGTTCACTAGAAACACAACTCAAAATGAATGCTGAAGGTAGATCTACATCTGGATTTTTAAATAGTAACTGTTTGCTAATATGTTAATGGTCATTAATGGAATTTTTTCATGGTTAATGTCAAGTGGCCAAAAAGTCTTTGAATACAGCTTTGACAAATATTTAACTGCAACATGTCTCTCCAGTAAAACTGTGTTAAAATATTTGATTGTAGTTTGAAATGTTACGACCATCACAACAGGATGAAAACAGAAATCTCAAAGAAGGATATGTAAAAGAACTCAGAGAAACAAAACCAAAACGTTTTACTCTTTTAGATACCACCAGAGCTAAGTGACAAAATAAATTAAATTTGTCTAATCCGGCCTTTTAATAGTAATTGATACATATATATCACATGATTATACCAATTATTGGTAATGTAACACTGATGGCTGCTAATTAAAGCTGCTAACATTTGCATTAACGAACAGCATATTAATGCAAGTAAACTGAACCGAAGTGAGCCATATGTTTACATTTTTTAAAGTATTTTTCTATTAATACTTGTATGACTTATCTGATGGGACTTCATAACATTCCCATCGGTGTGCAATGATATTGAATCCTGATCATCTGCCAATGCCATACAATCCATCAGGGCCTCACAAGTTTATAATTTGATCAACTAGAGTGACATCATAACAACGTCTGGCTCCCAAGCTTTTACCCACCTTATTGCCATTGTTGTACATGGCCACCAGGCACAGCAGATGGTACATGTGGCCACACTTGCCAAGTTTGCCCACCAGCTCTGGCTTGATGCCTTTGTGCTGCAGGATGCCTTCATAGCCTGACGCCATGACCAGCCTCTCCATGCAGATGGTACAGTCCTGGAATAGACAAGCAAAATACTTCAGCTGTCATTCTAAGTGACTGTGTAATCATGAGACTTTCACACATGGTTAGGACATCTAACGGTCGCAGGGAGCATCTCTTGGTGGTGAGCAATCTTCTGTGCATGCTTGTGTTTTTCTTACCTCATCTGGCACCACTTTAATCTTCTCTGTGTATCTTCGCACCACATCCTCTGGGTTTTTGCCTTGTCATAAAATAAAGCATAAGAGAAATGAGTAGTAGCAATAAGACTGTTAAACAACTGAACTGCTGAAACAATTTCATAACATTCATCTGCTACTTAGTAATTATTTATCTATTATCTAATATATCATTCCAATAACTTGTATATAGACTCGTATTGCACTATTCCACTTTTTTTTCTCTCACTTTTTTTTTAAAGAAAAACAATTTTTCTTTTTGTATTACTTTTAATATAGTATATTTTAATATTGGTTAATATTGTCTGCTTATCTGTATTATTGTGTTGCATTGTTGGAGAAGCCTGTGACCTAAGATTTTCAACGACATAATTACTCTGTAGCTATGTTAGTTTGACAATAAAGACCCTTGAACCTTGAGTTGACCGGTGAAGAAAAGACAATCCAGCCACTTGCTTACACACACCACAAGTAAATATGAAAAAGGGCAAGATAGACCACTGAATGGCATTTGTTTGTCATTTAAACACAAGAGAATAATAACAGTAAGATCTTGACGGATGACACACTTTTATGAGTTTCAGCCGTCACGCTGACAGCTTTTTTTTTCTGATGAAAGAGTGTTTTCCCATGTGAATGTAGTTCACATGTCTGTGGTGTTAAGGAGGAGGTCACCTTCAAACTCAAACATAACCCAGCCATCCCCACACTCTCATAATCCCTGTGTGCAACCAGGCTAGCATGGCTGAGAGTACACCCACAGCTTACACCCCTAATACGCTTACAGGCAACCTCTTCTCCCCCGGGAGCCTTTGTTTGTTCATTTGAGGGACAGCCAGCGAAAACAGAGGGAGGGAGAGCAGTGGAGAGAGGAAGACTGAGCAAAAAAAAGGTATAAAGGCGGAGAGAGGGAAGAGGCAGAGAGCTGTGAAGAGAAGGAGGAGTGAGAACAGGAAAAATAATTTGTACGCAATGCCTACTTGATGGCTTCATTAGCCTGGATCAAGAGCTGTCTGACCTTTTTCTGTACAGAAAGCAGAGAAGCCCATAAGCCCATATCTCCCTGCTTAAGAAAAAAAACACTTTTGTATTCCCCTCACAGCTCTCCAGTATCAGAGTTTAAACTCGGCACATACAGGTTGCTCATTTGGCAGCTGCCTCATTCCTCCATTTATTACCCCAGAAATGTTTAATCATCGTTCATTTAGAATTATAGTCTCCCCTAGTAGGAACTTTCCTATACATTTACAGCGACATATCAGGATCCTTCCGAGTAAATTAGATTAAACTGTGGGACCCGTTAAATTATGTCCCACTGCATCATCTGCTCTTAAGGGTAGAAGAGGACGACCACGGTGCAGAAACCGAAGCCCAACAGCCTCACTGATCAATTAGGACAAAGACTCCCGTGGGAGGCGGGCGGTTTCCAAGGCTTCCATCGACCAGCACTTATTCAAGCACAAAGCCGTCCAACTGAACACCAGATCCCCTCTCAAACCAGCTCCGTACAACATTTCCCCTGTTAATTACTTTCCTTACAACTGCCTCTATCAATCTGCATGTAGTGTAACACAAATAAAATGGTTACAGTAACACTTTCGCTGCGTTTTCTCATTAATCTGAACAAGCAATCATCATTACATTTTATAGGAGCTTTTGAAAAAAGGTAAAGGCATTCTCGCGTCACTAATCATCAGTGACCATGGTGAGTGTGGATTTATTGTAAACCTTCATGCAGCTGAAATTGGAAGCATTTAAAGGATCATTTTGTAAACAGCTTTGATTTTGTTTGCATGGTAAACAACAGACAAAGGAACAGCTGATGGGGAAACATCCTGCAAAGCTTGGAAGGAAAGAGAGAGTCTGCTGACAGTCAGTGGTTTCTCTTCTCAGTGCATTTCCAATGTTCCAAAACCATATAAAAATATCATGGTAGCATTTACACTTTGTTCTCAATTCACTTCCTCCTCTCTTCGCATTGACTTGCTCCATCTTACCTCTCCTCAGGTGCTTTTTCTTGGTTTTGCGGCGCATGCCATTGATCCCTGGAACAGGCTTCATGTCGCTCTTATTGATGGGGGGCGGGTGCAGAATGGGCTTGGGGGCCCGGGTCAGGCAAACCGGCAGACCTGCAGCGCACATCAGGATACCTGTCATACCTGAAGCATAAGGACAGCACACACACATACACACAAAAATAGACACAAAGAAGAATGGAAAAAAACACTAATTGTAAATGTCTTTCAAGATCAATAAGAGTTTCAGCACTCAAATCAAATCAATTTTTAGCAGATGCTATACAATGAATAAGAGCTAGGCGATAAATAAATATGACAATTTTGCGTCTTTTATATTGACATGACGAAATTAATCAATAGAAAAACGAACTAACTAAAATTCCTCTGACTATTCTGTATGTGTGTGCATCAATGTAAATGTAGTCAGCGTGTAGCTTGAAATATATATATGTATTTTGTCTTTATAATCTCACCTTATAAGTTTCTTATAAAATGAGGAAATACTACTTCATATATATATATATATATATATATATATATATATATATATATATATATATATTACCTCATTTGTGAGGTAATTAATTAACACAGGTGTATCCAAAATATATTTCACAACATAGTTTTTTCATAAATATATATATTTATTTATTGAATTGACAAAAAACATGTATACTGTAAAGCCATGATATGACATTCAAGGATTAAGGTATTTGGACATATTGCCCAGTAGCCTGAATGTTGACTAACCTGCTAGGGCTGGGTGCACTGGTCCAGTTCCAGTCAGGTTTTTTACTGGGAGAGCAGGAACCCTAAAAAAAGCAAAGAATAACATTTTTTAAAAGTACATCATGGCCACAGAAAGTGTCGAGCTTGCATCATACATTCATTCAGGGTCATACTACCACCTCTAGTGGCCATTAGGAGACATCAAGATCCACAGTAAACACAAATCATCTTCTCTGTGCGGCAGTCCATTCTTGTTCTTTTCTCAAAACCAAAAAACACATTTAAAATGTCCTGATCATGCATCATTGCCTGTAATGCCACAGTTGAGAAAAGTGAGAACAGCAGCCCGTTCTGCCCCACATGCCACAAAAAACTGTTAAAATGTCACATGTGCTTCACCACAGAGACAGAGACAACTGCAATGGGATGAGACAGCTTGACTCATGTACAAAGCACTGCAGCAGAGTCTGATTCAGGATGACATTTGGAGAGGCTGGAGTTCATGGTGAAAACAGACGACAAAGACAGTTGACTTGCGCATTCTCACAGATCTGTGGAGCTAGCCGACAAAAGCACTTCAGGCATTATTATGGGCACACAATCAGTGAGTCGCTATAGAGGGCCGTGGTTTACTGAAAAGCATTCAGAGTTTTCAGACCATTATTCTTTCCTCAGGTAAAGAGAACGCCCCAGTGTCATGACAAGCCAACTCAAGTTATGCATTTGCAATCAATATCTTGCTTTAAATTAGGGCTGTCAAACGATTAAAATCTTTAATCAGATTAATCACAGCTTAAAAATGTATTAATCATGATTAAATCACCATTCGAACTATGTCCAAAATATGTCATTTATTTATGTATATTGTTGTGGGAATGGAAAGATAAATGAAAGAAGGCGGATATATCCATTTAACATACAGTATGTATGTTTATTATAACATTTTTCTGTGTGTCAAAATGAAAGAGAGCACCTATCAATCATCAAACCGTGGGGTCTTAATTCATTACGTGTTGATTTCTATCAACGGGGGAGTACTTCAGGAAAGTCGACTGGGGGGGGGGGCTAGTGGAGTACCTCGTGACCACAGAGTGTGACCGTTGTGATCAGCTGTTTTAGCGCAGTTCTCCAGTGAAGAGGGGGAGTCTCCCTCCGCAGCCGGTTGGCGTAGTTTTGGCACAATTCCGTTGTACAGACCGACGTTAACAGCAGCCCTGTCTGTGCACACGGAGACCGACTCTGTCGTCCGGTGATCTAACCGCCTTCTGGAAAAGCTTCACAAGTACGTCGGTACGCAAATGCGCTTTGTGACACAAGTGACGGTACGCATTTCAGATTACGCACATAACCTGCAAAAGCATGAGCAAAAATATTCTCCGTCGGGACTTCCTGCAACAACACCACGCCGTTATCTTGATTCTGATTGGCCAGAAGACATGATCAAAGATGTTCTATTGAGAAAACGATCACTAAGTGACAAAAGTTTTCAAAACCGTTTCTGGTCTTCGGTATTTCCAGACAAGTGGCTACTGAAATCAATCTTACCAACTGCTGTCTGCAATTTACTCCGCGCGAGTTGGCAGACTTTATTTTGCTTACTTTAACATCATTTTTCATGGTGGGGCTAAGCCATTTCTTGGTATGGGTGTAGCCTACCCCAGCCATACCCTGGCGCTGCCACTGGTGGGATGTATGGGGCGGGCCATTCTGCACATGCGTTAAATGCGTTAAATATTTTAATGCAATTAATTCAAAAAATTAATTACCGCCGTTAACGCGATAATTTTGACAGCATTACTTTAAATCACAGCAAAGAAGCAACACGTAAAGAACCGGAATTGAACACGTAATTGCACCAGATGCGAGTTGGTTGTAAAAAAAGGCCCACAAAATCAAGTCTCGTAAATACAGTGAAGCATTCGGCTGCTAATCAGAACAATACACTTTTCTCATGAGTCTTTATTAGCTGTTGGGTTGGGGTTAATAAAGTAAATATCTAAAAAACATATATTATGTATAAGAAAACGAAACCACAACTTGCTGGTCTACTACAAGTCAATTATTTTGTGTTATTGTGTGACTTTGCTGTTTTAGAGTGTTATCTCGACCTCCTCAAAGTCACAACATATCACAAACTAAGATCTGGCATGCAGACCACCATCTTCTGTAGGGAATACACTGGCTATGGATAAGTACCTCATACAACCACTCTTTAAAACATCCAAACAATCCCTTTACGTAGATGATCTGAGACATTTTTTAAACATAACTTGAACAAAGTTACATGAAATTATCTGTGTAAATGGGGCACTGCTCACTGAGCAATTTATCTCAGTATATCACACACTCACACACACTAACTAATCTCCACATATACTTCTACATCTCTCTGCTCTCTGACCATGAAGGGACTGAGATCTTTGGCCCTGCAGCGCTCAGGCGTTTCACAGATCCGCATCAAGAGACTGCTTTGATATTAGCCAGAGCCTCTGTTCCTGCGCCAGGGGAAGCCCTTCAATTAGCTGAGTGCAAGCAATAAGGGAAAGGGACGCGAGGCCTGGCTGAGGCTGATGTGTCCCATCGTCCCTTTGGTAGGGACTCGCTGCACTTTGTTTCTCACACCAGAGGACCAGAGAGCAGGATCAGCTGACTCCTGTTGTGTGTCAGACTGGAAACAAAAGAAAGCTGGTGATGTGTTGTTGTTTCCAACACCTAATGTCAAAATGTTGAATTCAAGATGTGAAACTGAGACAGGTTTGATTTTTAGTGACAAAAGCAAGTGATTTCACACCCTCAACCGCAGCAGAGGAATTCACTTGTGAACTCCCCCACTGCAGTCACTGCTTACAGCTCAAACCAACTAGTCGATACATTACTAAGTTAAACAAACAGTTTTGCCTTTTTTATTGGTTTTAAAAGTAGAGGACATTTTTTACACTGGACCCGATTATGCTGTTTGGGGATTTTCCTTTCCTGGTGTGTGCACACAAACCAATATAAGATAGATAAATAAAGCATATAATATATCTATTTACCAATCTATATCTCTCACACACATTTCCCCTTCCTGCCTGAAACGCCTCCATTGGACTCCTTTGTTTACTTCAGTAACATAGTGACATCACTACGTACGCTCTCGCTTCTATTGGCTAGCGCTCCAACACATTGTACGTGATCGAGATGTTCTGCCCCTTAGCCTAAGTGGTTGACCAATAACAACACAGACGGCCAGCTAACCAATCAGAGCAGACTGGGCTCTGGTTTCAGACAGAGGGTGAAAAGAGCTGCAGCACAGGCAGTATGATAAATAAAAACCTATTTCAACATTAAAGCGTGTAAACATGTCACACTAGAGGCACACAATATGAACCTGAAAATGAGCGTAATAGGGCTCCTTTAAGGCAGAGCAAGTGCCAAACACCTTTTCAAACCTGAATATCAGAAGTAGAATGGGATTGGCCAAAGCGGCATCTGATACTCATTAAAACCAAATTAGGTACAGCCCAGTGGGAGAGTCTCTCCTCCATTTAAACATGCACTTAGGCCTAAATCAAATCAAAACACATGACGCCTCCCTCTATGAACGCATGTATAATTAAGCTTGTTCAGTGAGAGCGCTGTGATCAAACAAATAATTTTCATTAGGAGAAGAAATGAGACAGCACACCATGAGAGCCCTTAACACCATCTCATTGTGTGCCATGTGCACACTGCACAAACTACACACTCCTATAGGCACACAGCACAGAGGATTTGTCAAAGATCCATAACATTACATTAATTAGGAAAATGCTTTTCATCTTTATTGCCTTCAGATTCTGGCAAAGATCTTGGCATGAGCCGGCAAGTGTATCGCATAATAAATATGCAATGTTAATGAAACAGCTACACACTGTTTGATTACACATCCACCAAAAAAGCAAAAGCTAACATACTTATCTACTCTGTTTTTATGGTGTATTTTAATACGAAGACAAATACATCCCCATCTTGCAGGCAATTGCTTTTTGGCTGTACTTCATTACTTCTGTAAAGAGCGTGATTACCTATCATTACAGTGCAGAATTATTTGTAAACACATGACTGCATCCTTTACCAGCCAGTCGACCTGTAACCTGTAAGCAGCTTCCACTCCATCTAATTCTGCGCACCCTTTTCTCTTAATTTGCTTTTAGAAATGTGCACCTGGAGGTATGACCCTCTCCATCATGGCTGTGCCTGAAGCAGCTTCACACACTCTGACACTGACAATCCTAATGCTGGATTATTTCAACGGTTAAACTCCTCCCCCTTGTTGCTTATTCCGCTCTCTGCCGCACATAATTCTTGTCTAAAAATACCGTCATAATTACCGGGAGTGCATCAAAATCCTTTGTCATTACTTATCATCTAGTTCCTAAAAGTGTGCTGCCGGAGGTCTCCACTGATCATAAACAACAGGCTGCGTTAGCTCATGAGTAATTATACCAAAACGTCAGTGCAAACAAGAGCAGACCTTTGGCCTTTACACTGCAACCCTTCTTTTCCAGTATCCAAGCTTTGACAAGGCTCCTTTGGAAAAGATCCCCTCTGCATTTATTTTGCTCTGCCAACTCAAATGTACAGTGGGGCAAAAAAGTATTTAGTCAGCCACCAATTATGCAAGTTCTCCCACTTAAAAAGATGAGAGAGGCCTGTAATTTTCATCATAGGTACACTTCAACTATGAGAGACAGAATGGGGGAAATAATCCAGGAAATCACATTGTAGGATTTTTAATGAATTAATTGGTAAATTCCTCAGTAAAATAAGTATTTGGTCACCTACAAACAAACAAGATTTCTGGCTCTCACAGACCTGTAACTTCTTCTTTAAGAGCCTCCTCTGTCCTCCACTTGTTAACTGTATTAATGGCACCTCTTTGAACTCGTTATCAGTATAAAAGACACCTGTCCACAACCTCAAAAAGTCACACTCCAAACTCCACTATGGCCAAGACCAAAGAGCTGTCAAAGGACACCAGAAACAAAATTGTAGACCTGTACCAGGCTGGGAAGACTGAATCTGCAATAGGTAAGCAGCTTGGTGTGAAGAAATCAACTGTGGGAGCAATTATTTGAAAATGGAAGACATACAAGACCACTGATAATCTCCCTCGATCTGGGGCTCCATGCAAGATCTCACCCCGTGGGGTCAAAATGATCACAAGAACGGTGAGCAAAAATCCCAGAACCACACGGGGGGACCTAGTCAATGACCTGCAGAGAGCTGGGACCAAAGTAACAAAGGCTACCATCAGTAACACACTACGCCACCAGGGACTCAAATCCTGCAGTGCCAGACGTGTTACCCTGCTTAAGCCAGTACATGTCCAGGCCCGTCTGAAGTTTGCTAGAGAGCATTTAGATGATCCAGAAGAGGATTGGGAGAATGTCATATGGTCAGATGAAACCAAAATAGAACTTTTTGGTAAAAACTCAACTAGACGTGTTTGGAGGAGAAAGAATGCTGAGTTGCATCCAAAGAACACCATACCTACTGTGAAACATGGGGGTGGAAACATCATGCTTTGGGGCTGTTTTTCTGCAAAGGGACCAGGACGACTGATCCGTGTAAAGGAAAGAATGAATGGGGCCATGTATCGTGAGATTTTGAGTGACAACCTCCTTCCATCAGCAAGGGCATTGAAGATGAAACATGGCTGGGTCTTTCAGCATGACAATGATCCCAAACACACTGCCCGGGCAACGAAGGAGTGGCTTCGTAAGAAGCATGTCAAGGTCCTGGAGTGGCCTAGCCAGTCTCCAGATCTCAACCCCATAGAAAATCTTTGGAGGGAGTTGAAAGTCTGTGTTTCCCAGCGACAGCCCCAAAACATCACTGCTCTAGAGGAGATCTGCATGGAGGAATGGGCCAAAAATACCAGCAACAGTGTGTGAAAACCTTGTGAAGACTTACAGAAAACGTTTGACCTCTGTCATTGCCAACAAAGGGTATATAACAAAGTATTGAGATGAACTTTTGTTATTGACCAAATACTTATTTTCCACCATAATTTGCAAATAAATGTGATTTTCTGGATGAAAATTACAGGCCTCTCTCATCTTTTTAAGTGGGAGAACTTGCACAATTGGTGGCTGACTAAATACTTTTTTGCCCCACTGTATCTCCTTCTCCGAGCCTGGCCACAATCAAACCTATAAAAGTGGACAGTAGTGTGCTTCTGAGGAATTACCATTTGCTATGGCGCTTTTTTGTAGGTCAAACACTGCAATTTCTGACCTAAAACCAATGCAAATTAAGTGTTGAATCCAACCCCTTCACACCTAACTCATTAAAACCACCTTAATTGTGGCCCATGCTAGGTCAGGGCACGAGGGTTGCCGTCCTTTTTCAGTTTTTTCCTCCTTCCTATCCTGAGGGAACCTCCAGCCTGCCTTGAGCAATTAATCAGACCGGGAGGGATGTGATTCCCCAAATAGAGACTACATTAGGCCTAGTTAGGAATGTGCTGACGGAGGTCTTATATCTCCTCATCTGTTTATTATGCACCATAAAGACAGTAAGAGGGGGGATGGAGAGAGAGAACTCAAGGAGGGCTTAATTGCATATTGCTGCGAGTATCAGGAGGCAGAGGAAAGCCCTGTACGTGCTGCACTGTGGGGGGTTTACAACCAATGCACTTTCACCTCCTGAAATGTCCTGAGAATTAAGCAATAATGACACCAATGATTCTAAATTACATCAGTTTGGTCCTGATGAGCTGACATGATTGATGAATTCATTTTTTATATAAACGTTATCTGGTGGTAAGCCCCAGAGCTGCCCACTGAGAGATAATGAACTTCACACACAGCCCTCCAGCCAACACTCAGGCGAGCTGTATTCAAACAAGCAGAGTGAAGCTCGTAAACACAGCCAATGACAGCGTGCACATTCATACACACATTCGTGCCCTGTTGCCTGAAGACAGCGCGTCTCAGCTCAGAGATCTTGTTACATTATTTCTGTTCAATCCACCCTCATAATATGCTTCTTTATCTTTCAAACAGTCTTATAAATAAATATAATAACTCCTCATCACTCAATGTTATCATCAACTCTTACAGCTTTTAAAAAGTGAGAATCTTCTGCTTTTTGAAAAACATCTGAAGTTGCAGCCCTACTAAACATAGCCTTTGTTTCACACAAGTGTTAATAGAGTGTAAACTGAATCATTCAAAAATAATCTATAGCAGCCTGTATCTGTCGTTACTACACATGACCTTGTTTCACAGGTCCTCGGTTTATGGCAGGCATCCTGTAGAAGCAGGTGTTATATAGTGGGCTGTGTCAAACCCATTATTAAGATAAACTGATGTGTTTACACAAACCAGCAGATGGTGCCACTTCTAATATCAGTTCACGCAAGACAGATGCATTAAACAACACCATTAATAGCCCGAAACCCTTTGGTTCCTTCACACAATAAAAACATCAATATTTGAACTGTAGTCTCCAATGATACACAAGTCAAAACAACATATGGATTGTGCTTATGGGCAGATGAAATCAATCCTATGCAAGAAATGTAAATGCTATGGTGGTTTGTGTATCTAAAGCAGTGACATCAACTCCTGTAAACAAGCCATAGATGCCAATTACCTTTCTCGCACCCAGCACCCGTTTTATTCTGGTGTGTGAAAAACAGATCTGATGTTTTGCATTTTGTGTGGGTTCCTCTGTTATCGGCCCTGAGCACGCTTGTGTTTTTTTTTTTCTCATTTCATTTTGTGTGTGTGAGCTCATGTTCTGTTGTGTGTGTGAATGTTAACCACACTCATCCTGTATGTCGAACCACTCGCCTGGGAACTGACACACTCCACCTCACCCCCAGTCTATTCCTCTCCCTCGCTTTTTCTGTGTCCACAAAAAACATTTTGTGTGAAAAAGTGACATTCAAGCTTTCACTGATTTCTTACAATAAAGAAGAAAATGTATATACCTCCCATGCTGGTTTTCTTTATGCACACAGTTGCATCATTTTCCACCTGCTTGCTGTATAAAACAAGGTCATGGCCTGCTACGAAGAGCAAAATCTTATACGTTTCCATTCAGTGTCGCAGAATGAGGCCACAGAAAGTAAAAGGATGTGTGCCTGGGTGAAGGACGGCATTATTCAAACACGCAGTAAGTGTGTCTCTCCCCATGAGCAGTGCGAGCAAAATTGAATCAAATTAGATCAGGAGTGGTTTATTTTAGTAAAAGAAAGCAGGATAAAGGACTGAAGTATCGGTTACAACTCTACACACACTTCTTTTCCTCCTTTCGCTGAATCGCTCTGAGGTCACAGCGCTCAGCTGAAGCTCCCATTTTTCCTTGATCCATTATTCATTCTTTCCCAGTGCCTCCATGGCAAATAGCTTTCCACAGCTACACCAGAGCCTGCCCGTGCATGAACACCATACAACAAAAGACACGGTTACACACACAAAGATCCAGATATTCAACCTACAATGTCATTTTCTTCATGACCACCACAGCATGGTGTCATAATAAGAAATGTGTAAGCAGAGGCCACAGAATAATATAGAAGAGCTGCAGTATTTCACGCCTATTGGGGCCAACATAAGCTCATTATGGAGCAGTCGCCATTGCAGACGAACATGTGAAAAGAAGGGTTCTTCCTCTGTAAAATCAACTGGACCCAAGGCTTTTTCTGCAGCTGTAATGATCCATATGTTAACGAAATGTATCATAAACCAGCAGAGAGAGGTAGAAAACGACAGAGAACAATACTCCTGACACAAAGATACTAAAGCTTTGTGAAGCAGAAACGGAGATTGTCTTTGCTTTTTATATCCTCCTATTGCCTCAGCTCAACTGGAAATTCAACCAAATCCGAGCATTATGCCTGTGCTATAACAAGTAACAGGCCACTGCATACTCCATTCAAAGTGGAAGATAAGGGGTATGAATGCTTCTGTTTGTCATTACCCTGGTGGGACGGCTCCTCTGGCAGTGCTCATGGAAATGCGCTGTGTGCCCGGCCGGTTCAGGTTGTTCTGTCCGTTGATGGTGAGAGCGTGGTGGCCATGGGCGGATGAAAGAGTGGGCATCACGGGGGAACAGGGGAAATTGGCAGAGGACAGTGGCAACAGCACCTGTTCAGCTTTGGCATGCCCACCTCCCATACTTATGTTATTGTTGTTGGGGCCCGAGGAGGCGGATGTCGGGGACCAGAGAGAGGTTCCAGCAAAGGTGTTGCTCTGCCGCACTGCAGTGAGAGTTCCTGTAGCGCCTGTGTTTCCTGTTGTCCCGCCGTAGTGCTTACGCCGTTGAGAGGCCAGAATTGCATTGGAGGCGGCTCTCGTGCTGTTGACCAGGATGCACTGCTGGCAGGAGCAGGGCTGGCCGGAGTTTGCTCCCACGGGCCACGACTGGGACTTGGGGATGGAGCCCATGATGAGCGGGTAGGCCAGGTCCATGCGTCTCCGCAGGCGTCTCTTACGCTGACTCTGCCTGTTGGTCTGACACATGCTGTTGAAGTCGATGAGGTAGCTGAAGCCCAGAGAGGTGAGGTCCAGCCAGGGGTGCTGCTTCTCGTAGGCATTCTGGATGGTCACACAGATCTCCATGTCATACGGCGTCCACGAGCCGCTGTCGTTCTCCCACTCCCACACCACGCCTTTCCCCGGGGCGGACGACGGCTCATAGAAGTTTCTCTGCGCTGGTCTCATCGTGCCTAAAACAAAAGACAGGGGAGAGAGTGAAAAATGAGGACAAAAAAAAGAAGCTTTTGTTATGGTCAGCTACTTTGCAAGGACAGAAGATCACAAATGATAAATGTGAGGAGGAATAAACATCATTTTTTAGACCAGATTTTCTTTATTCTGCATCTTTTGACACCTCTGCTGGCTTTACAGATTCAGGTCAATTAACTAATCCGTCCACAGGAAATGGTTCTAATTTTGAAAGTTCATTATGAGTTTCATTATAAGCTAAATTAAACCATTTAGTTTGTCGTTCATAAAGTCTGAGGACTTTCAAGAGACAGACTAAAAAAGTAAATTAACTTTGAGTCTCTTATGTGGGTCAAGCTACAACAACTCAAGGTACTGGACAAACCTCCAGTTTGTAAATCTGTTTAAAATGTAAAATGAAAAGTCTCAAGCTCAAGCTGAAATAGTAAGTGTAACTTCACGTGTAAGATAAGCGTAATGCCCATTTAATTTATTGTATTGATTTCTCTATTGGTTGCAAATGAGATGACTCTAATTTGATGAGTCAAAATCAAGCCCCAAAGAAGAGCGCCAGCCGTTGAAGCAAATTGTCGTAGTTGCCAAATGGTGTTTCTACAGTCCCATTCTAGCACATTACGTCATTTTGGCCCAAAAAAAACGTTTTCCCATTGACTAACATTGTCAACCACCCAGTATGAACAATTTTAGAGCCGCTTTATCATTAGGTTTTACAAGTTTACCAGAGTTATTTTCACTCTCCATTCATTTGACTTGAGCTGAGAGCGGGAGATTGGAGGCGGGCTTAAGGAAAGCTCAAGTACGCACGCATATGGGCAAAAGTCCCCGGATGATTTGGGTTTGAATCTACAGTCGTTCCATTTTAGGCTTCATGTGCCACTGAGCAACTTTCATAGGAATGAATGAGTCCCGCCTCCGATGCTGTATCCAGTTCCCTTTAGACATCCATGGACAAGAAACTATGAAAAAACATAAAACTCTAACAAATGTAAACGTGCTTAGAATTTTTCATTATACTTGACAAATAATTGTGTAAATTAATAATTGTGTAAATGATCACTAGGAAAAAGGCATCATTAGATTAAACTCTGTTGATATTAGCCAGAGGCACAATGCAGTTTTAATGCTGCTTCGGTTTATTGCTCAATGACTGAGCCAACAAGTGTTGAGACAGCAGATTGACCAGCTGATGAAGTCGAGGTGTAACATTTCTCTACCTGCTGGAGGGAATGTAGTTGCAAACTGTAGCAGTAAGTCAGTGGCTCAAAAAAAAGAAGAGAAATACATAGCAACAAGCTGGTGTGCACACGCTAGGAAAATCGCTCCGAGTGTCTATTAAGCTGCATGCGATGGCCACACACATCATACCCACAATCCCCTTCTGCCTCAGTCTGCAGTCAACTGTTCTGTATGGTGACGGGAAAGAGTGGGTTGTACCTTTGTCCCTCTGCTGACGGCCACTCAGCTCCCACCTCCATTATAACACAATTAACGTAGTCACATGGGAAATCAGGACACCTTCGCCTATCCATCTCCCCGCAGCAAGTCCGCAAGGGTATCCAGGCACCCCGACTCTCACCTTCCCCCACCTAATTTAACGGGTAAATGCACACTCTCCTGCCAGGGAGGACCAGGGTGATGGGAGTGTGTGAATGGATGTTGGAAAGAGTAGAGGGGTCTGTGGGCAGCGGTAACCCCTCATGCTGCTTGCTCTGGAGAATAAAATGCATCAGTAGAATCAGTAAGTCTGACCTTGAGGCTGTGCTGCAGACTGCTGCTAAAGGACTCGGCTTGACGACTAAGCACACACACACACACACACACACACACACACACACACACACACACACACACCACACACACACACACACACACACACACACACACACACACACACCACACACACACACACACACCACACACACACACACACACACACACACACACACACACACACACACACACACACACACACACACACACACACACACACCCACACACACACACACACACACACACACACACACACACACACACACACACCACACACACACACACACACACACACACACACACACACACACACACACACACACCACACACACACACACACACACACACACACAGTGAGCCAGCTGCCTGTGTCTCTCACGTCTTTGCTCACTGAGCCATGCCCAACTTTTCTGCCAGTTGCATTCGTGCCTGTTCACGACTTGCTTGCATGATTTCTTGGAGGATGATAATGAAAATGATAATGATTTCCCTAAATGGATTTCAGAATAAAATACTCATTGATTTCCTGATAGTCAATGATTTGGTCTGTGCTTTTAGCGTAGCGTTGGAGAGCTAGCCACACATCTGAACACTTTATCCCTGCAGCTCCTGAGGGATGCATTAGATGCGACACTTTCCGAATGGCTGCATGTTTCTGTGACCACGTGGTCAATGGTGGCACAGCCATACAAAGTCTTGCTAATAGGTTTAACACAAGCTTCATAAATGTTTCAACATGTGAAGATGTGTTTTTCCCAGGCGTCAATTTATACATCTTAACTTCGGTGGTGAGAAATAAACAGTTTCTATCTTTGAAAGCCTATTAGTACTGGTAATTGTTCATGAGAGTGCTGATGGAGCCTGACGCATGAAATGTGCTCAGCTGAAAGATTTTCAGTGGGCTCGGAGGGATGGGTGTTTGGCAGCCAGATTTCTCTGCTGTAGTTAAAGTGAGGCGAGAACAGGGCTTTGCTCAGCATTCACAGAAAGAACCTGGTTTGTGACTCCCCTATATTACTTATTCAATTCGAGTCACAGAGCTAAGCACCCAATTTTCCACCAAAAAATAAATACCCGGCAATTTTTTTAAAACCTAGAAGGTCATTTTATGAATTACTGCCGTTATAAAAATATTTCTAGAATCCTCGAACACTCCACTGACCATCTGGATTAAAAATACATCTGTTGTGCGAGAAACCAACAATGCTTTCTAGGGCTTTTCAAAGATCGACAAATATCCACAGCTTTCTAGCTCATAATACACGTAGGGCACAAACTGAGGCTTTCAAGGACTAAGCATAAAAGGTAAATGCTCATATGATATATCTCAACAATGCAATGTATTTGTTAACGACAATTTTAGTTTAGTATATTTTTATAAATTCAAACTAACTAAAACAATTGTTGAGATCGGATAACAAGGTGACTTCCTACTATAAAGTAAGACAAATGGACATTGCAGAAGTAGGTTAAAGGAATAGTTTGATTTTGTGTCTTGTTTAATCTGCTAAATGTCTGTTACATGAATGTATTTGTATCAAATAAACAAATGAGATAAACATGTTGATAGGTGCTAGCAAACTAATTCTTAAAAAGGGGCACTATCATGATTTTGGGGTTTTCCTGTAGTGTGTTTTACAGGTTTCTGTTATCCAAAGGGAGTTTCTCCCCCACACACACTCCTTATTCTAAGCTAAGCATCTCCCATCACAATTCCTACAAGTCAAGCTATTCCTTTAAAATTAAACCAAACAAACCCACCTATTATCATCCAAATAAGCTGGATGTTAACATTGTACAGTTTTGGTAGTAATGCCATGGTCTTTGTTTTCATCTTCGAAATATGTTTTGGCTAACTTGGGTGTTGCTGGTTTCCAACATCTCAACACATAAGTACACAACTATTGTAACCAATTGAAATTATGTCCAAAGTAAAACCCACATTCAAACAAACTACAGTTATTCTCTAAACACTTGCATTCTTCTGCAGGGAGTGTACAGGTTGCGGATCAGGGTCCTTGAGAGGAAAAGGCAAAGGCTACAACAACACATGTGTCCTCGGGCCTCATGTGGGAAGTCATATTCAAAACATTCAGCCTAAAACGCTGCACACTGCCTCTCATTCTGCTGTAATTTACTGCTGTATACTGCCACAGCCAAAAAAGCAGAGTGGTTCATGTTCCCCCTGTGACCCTTAACGCTCTTCCTAGCAGGAAACTTAGCAAGAGTGGCCACTTCCTGTCAGACCCCGTGTGCCTTCAGCAGCCATCTTTCCTGCCCTCCCCTCATTTCCCTTGTCTTCTCTATCCCACAATGTCCTCCAGCTGTCTCCAGCCTCATAGTGGGACTCTGACCCCGCTGTCGCACAGGGCCAGGTGGGGTCAGGGTGAGCATGGCTGCCCTCTCCCATCTTAGCTGGGGGTAAAACTTCCTGCTGCCGGCTCTCCACATGAGGCCGTGCTAGTCTCCAACCTTGATAGTTTTGTTTTCCTCTGTCTGAATCACTCTGTTAAATGGAAGGACATGCAACATTAACTTGTAACATCCTTGACTGCCCTCAGAGGACTGCTGCAGGGAAAGATAGCAGATTGACAAATGGATGCTTTGTAGTTCATTCTGGTGAAAGTTTTTCTAAGAACTGTTAACAAGGGGCAATAAAAGAGTATATTGTATTTTTTTCAAAAAGATACAAAGCGTTTCCTGACCTGACCAAGTAATTTAACTTTAAAAAAGGAACTCTAGACACATCTTTCATATACATGAGTTATAATATCTTCTCTTCATTTTTATGTTGCATTACAATAATAAAATAACTGATAGGAAAATAGAAATAAAATTGTGCATTTTTTGAGAATTTCATTTCTATCGTTACAGTATATATTAAAATCCACTAAAACACGTGCTTAGATCTGAGAACAAAACAACACTCCCAAAATAAAGTAAGATAAACGGTTGGTTTGTTAAAAGCTCAGCCAATTTGTCTAAAATAGGATAAAGGAATAGTTTTAACATTTTTGAAATGTTGTGTCTAATTGGCAACATCTCAAATCAGTAATTTACCTTTAAAAAAAAAAAAGAACGCCACTCTTCTTTTTACACATGAGTAATATTATCTTCTCTTGTATTCACATTTAAATAATAAAATAACTGATTTGAAAATAGAAATCAAACTGTGGCATCAACATTTAGGGAATAAATCCACTTCTCTCTA